CCCGATGGGCAACAGGACTGAAAAGGAGTTTGCTGACTACCTGTTCAAAATGTCTCTGGATATTGAGCCACGGAACTGCAGGCAACCTCCCCGATTTGTAAGTGTTTGGACTGCAGTGTTTCGGTAGCAGTGAAGTTGTTGCAGAAGCAGTGTTTGGTGCCATTGTAGTTACAGTTATGTGCTCTGTTTTAGTCCCAGATACATATTTACTGAAGATTGGTGAAGAAAACATTGTTCGGGTCATGATTCAAAACTGCAGGACAACATATTTGTTTTTGTGGTCAATTTGAACATTTGATAGCAATGTTTTTCTATATTGTTAACATTTGCCTTTGAGATGAAGAGACATTTTGATGCCATAGGTTTCAGTGAGCACTGGGTTCGTTGTATTGCTGATAAAATTCTCACTGTTGAATTTCTGTTTCTTCTCCTGCAGCCCAGGAAGACCGTGTACACTCTGAAATCCCCGGGGATCCGGCCTGTGCGAACGTCTACCTCTGGCACCCTGAAGGGCCACCCCGTCCCGTTGGAGAGGGAGCCCCCGCATAAGATCACCTTCCGGAGTATCGCAGAGACCGAGCCGGAGACGCTGTCGTCGGTCTCGGTGCCCACCTCTCCGAACACGCCCACCCCTCCACAGTCAGCCTCCTCTGACCTCAGCTCAGTCTTCATGGAGCATGACCTCAGCAGCTCCTATGGCGGTGAGTTGAGCAGAGGCTCAAATCCTGTAGAAATCCCACTATCGTTGTTAAAAAAGGAACTTTCTGTTTCTTAACATATACATAGAAGTCAGTAAATGTCTAAATTAGTTTTTTATGACACTGTTTTACAGATTGATTGTATTACGTGACTATCGGGCTTCACTTAATGCTATTTTTATTAGTGCAAAGAATAAACTTTGAGTGTGGCTATGTGGATAATCCTATTGTTGAGTCACTAACTGCGTGCCGACAGTGTTGCATCATACTGGCAGAATGTTTTTAATAATGAACAGCTGACAAAAGATTGATCCAGTTAAGAGACTACGGTCTGTATAGAGGTAGAGAAGCTGGACAAAATGATGACTGAAACACAGCCGCTGCTTTCTCGCTTTGGTTAAGAACACTAATGCAAAAGGTAAAAGCACGCACCTTTCTTCATCTTCTCTCTGTCTAAATTTTACAGGTAGCAACTCCGTATTTGCTACAGTTCTTCTTCCGCCTTCAAGTAAGTATGGGCTTTTTCAGCTTTAAATTCAGCAGTTTTGATTGCTAACAGTCAGAGGAATTTGTGATCCACATGCCCTGATAGTGAGTGGGGCGTGTTCTTTTAACTCCATGTTTTTTTCTTCTTCTCAGAATTTCAGTCTGTGTCTTGCGGCAGCCTCCACCAACTCGGGGAGGAGCTGCTGAAGCCACCTCCTCTGCCACCACGAAGGAAAGACGCAATGTCTGAAGGCAAAGTAAGAGCAGGGCATCATTTCCCATCCGTTATATCCAGTTATAATTAAACATTACAACACCTGAACTAATTTTGATAGGGTTGAACATATTTACAGTGCATATAAAAACTACTATGCAGGTTATGGTAGTGCGGCCTGTAAATATGGTATTTGAAATACATCTTCAATGATTAAAGGTCAAAGTGTGTATTTGTTAAATGGTCTTAACTCTAATTTGGTATAAAACCAGTTAAATAAATTCTCCTGTTCTCACAAATTCCTACATTTTTAACTCAAATATGACATCTCAGACATCACTCCTGCTGTGAAACTTGGAAGATTGATAGTCTGAATGCAACATAGACTTCATCTTCACCTTCACCTCACCATCAGTTTCATGTCTGCCAGTTTTCCCCTTGTGTTCATTTTTAGAGTCTCAAAGAAGTAGTGGTGTTTTGTAATTTCCAAAAATTAGAGGGATGTCGGGTTTATTTTACAACCATGTGGAGAATACATGTTTAGCAATATTTGCATCCCGTTCTGCCACGGTTCTGATCTCCATGTGTCTCTCTGTGTCTCAGCTGAGCTCCAAGTCGGACAGCCCCCCGGCCATACCTCCCCGGCTGCCCCCTCCTCTGCCCAGGAACCAGCCTCGACCGCTGGTCTACAACGGCCCCCCCAGCGATGGCCCCCTGCCCAGCCCTCCTCCTCCACCGCCTCGTGACCCTCTGCCCGACACGCCTCCCCCAGTGCCCCAGCGGCCCCCGGAGATCTTCATGAACTACCCCCTCAACCTGCAGCCTTCCCCCGTGGGCCGATACCACTGGGACTTCAGCTCCCCGAGCTCCCCCAACACCCCGCCCAGCACGCCGTCGCCTCGCATCCCCAGGCGGAGCTGCCCGCTCAGCGCCAGCCAGAACAGCCTCTGCCCTCTCCCTGTTCCCATCACCGCTCCACCTGTGCCCCCACGCCACAACTCCAGCCCACAACTCCCTAAACTCCCACCAAAGACATACAAAAGGGAGCTGCTGCAGCCGCCGCTACAAGCCCTCTCATTGGTGGAGAACACCGACAGCAGCCAGTGAGTCGGTGTTATTTTTTTAAACGCCTAAAGGTGATCTTGAAATGCAAACTTCAAACTGTCTCCTGCAAACTAAGACACAGTGGACTCAAAGCTACTGATCAGAAAGAATTACACTGCTCCACACACTCTTAACTCCTCCTACCCGCCCTCCGCATCGACCAATCACATCGACCCCCCGCTGTGCCTCTCAGGGGATCAGTAGCTCCGCCTTCATCATAAACCCTCTGTGCCAATGAGAAACCCACACCGGTGTGCCAGCTAATAAACAACAAGGAGTAGAGTGTTTGTGTCTGTTTCTTCTGTACGGAGTGGGATCGTCTGCTCCTGATAAAAGTTCTCACCCCTCACACTCTTAACTTACACTTACCCCACGTCCCACTCCTCTCTCAGGGTGGGATGAATGTGGGGGGCCTTGGACTTTGTAGCCTCAACTGTCATGCTTTGTTTCTTTGGGCATTGACATCATCTGGAGTCTTGCTGCAGCTCACAGATTTTTACGACCTCTCTCCTCCTCAACGATCCACTTAGACGTAGCTCTTTCACAGTGGGTGTGAGCAGCAGACATTTCCATTGACTTGTTTTTCCTACAAACTGATAAAGAAACAGTTGCCAAAGTCTTATTTTATGCAGGGGGATAAGGGATTTTCTTTTTTTTTAAACAAATGTGACATTAAAAGAAACATAAAAGAGGCGACACTGAATCCCCCACCTTGTATCTCAACTGTACACTGTGACTGTATAGACGTGAGTGAAACTGTCTGACTGTTTTTTGTCTGAAAGACAGGCCTCTCCGCAGCCACAAAATGTTGCCTTTAAAAATCCAACGCCGGTGACCTCTGACCCCAGGCTCCAGTCCTCTCGGCCCGGATGGGACAACGAGAGCCGAGAACACTCCATTTGCACATCGAGTTTGGGCAAAGTCAGCAGGTTTTCGATTAGACTCAAATATCCCTCTGCGGTGTGCGACAGAGGGAGGTCTGCCACGATATCAAACAGCACCGATCCAGGACGAAGACGAGGAGAGGAAAGAGACACCCAAGTCTTTCTCCCTCTCTCGAAACTCTTCGAAAGCTGATGTCTTAACCGATCCCCTTATAGACGTGCACTGCTGTCTTGACACTGTGCTCTTCTCCAAAAGCCCTCATGACCAACTCTTCTTCATAGGTATTAAAACTCAGCACTAGAAGCACGCAACCTCCCACCAGAGCTGGGACAGCTCCCCCCAGTGGCTGCTCGAAAAACCTAAAAACCCATGAAAAAGAGGAACTTTTTAACCCAACTTCTTCTGTATCTCTCTTTTTCTTTTTTTCTGCTTGAAAACATTTTGTTTCACTTTGGAAAGACTGAAATAATCCATGCATCATGCTCAGATGTGCCTTTTATTTTGTTTTCTACTTTACAGAAATAAGCAAATGGTGTCTAAAATGCTAAAAAATAAAGTTGCCTATGTAATGTTTAGAACAAAGCTATACACTATGAAATTGTACATGTTTGTGGATACTGTGTATATATAACATGTATACACTAACTAAATAATTTGTATAAAGTGACAAGTTTTTTTCCCTGTTGTATTGTACCCTCATCCGCATCTGTTCAGTTGAATATTGCCTAATAATCCAATGCTGCTACAGTCGGATAAAAAAAACTAAAAAAACAAAAACAAAACAAGAAAAAAAACAGGTCACTGTCACTAACTTACTTACAGACAATCTCCAGTTGAAACACTGGGAGTATTAACTGAGGAAAGCCATTTTTTCTTCCCTGCCCCTTAGCTGTTTTAAAGCAATGGAAAAAAATACACAGTTCAATATGCCAAGCACTTACTTAGACGTGTGCTTCACTTTGTACATCCTACTAATTGCCTTTTTCTCCTTTTCAAAGATTTTTTAATGCTAACACTCATTAAACAGAGGTTGGAATTGTATTAAAGTTGCAGTTGAATATACACAGACCTATATTCAATTGCAAGTATTTGAGCATAGTGAAGAATTGGACATTTTTCTGAGAAACACACTTTGTGCACTTTAGGCTGTACTGTTGAAGAGCCGCAGTTGTTATAGGTCTTGTTTGTAAATGCAATGGTCCTATGCAACTGTTCAACTCACTTTCTACATGGATCAGGGCAGAAAAACACGAGTCTACCACCTCCACTTTTATCCCCATGATGTTTATATAAGACTCACAAAGACCTGAGGATGTCTGACAACCACAAGCTGGATTTCAGCGACATTTAAAAGAATTTAAAAAAAACTCACTCGTGCCCTTTTTTCTCCTCGCTTTGCCCTGAAAATACACAGAGCCCTCTTCCTCCTCCTCCTCCTCTCACTGTGTGTTGTGCAGACGGTGATGGATGATTTAACTAGAGGTAAAAAGGGGAGTAATGGAGGATTGACGGCTGAAGTCAAATCACTTCACTGTCTCGGCTCATGTTCTGTCCAGTTCCCAAATTTCCCAAGTCAGTATTGGTGGGGTTAATTTTGCCAAATTTTTGTTTTGTTTTGTTTTGTTTATCTTTTTTTAAACCCCAGCCCCGACAGAATAACAGATTGGTTTTCCTCCGGTGGCACTGTAACAGCTTGATCCAGCAGTCGGTTTATTTGATGGTATGTGGCCTTTTAACTGCTTTGTATTAATGGTCTTGATGAGATTAATAAATCACCCAGTCTTATTTTGTACTGAACTGCTCATTTCTCTTCTCGTTTTTTCTTTCGCTGTCAATTCAGATTTTCTCACACAAGAAGTAAGTTGAAAAGATTGATTAATTGATAAAGAAACAGATTTAAGTTTAATGAAATACACTTATTTGCTTTCTGGGGGAAGTTGAGATGAGAATATGATACCACTTTTAATTTGTCTGTTAATTTAGCTCATACTTATACAGCTAGCCGTTAGCACAGAGTTAGCTTAGTTTAAACTAAGCTAAAGTTTAAAAGCCGCTGGCCTGGCTCTATCCAAGTGTAACCAAATATATCTACCAGCACTTCCAAAGCTCACTAATTAACAGATATATACAATTTGTACCAAAAAACAGTTTTAAAAAATGATAATTAGCCGCCTCTGATTGGCTAGTACTCGTTGCCTTCATTGGATTGGTTAGTTTGGTTTAGGCATGAGGAGTGGGATTGGTTAGGGTTGGGGTAAAAAAGTCAGAGGCAGAATAGGGCGGGTCATAACTTCACCATCCTGGGGGGGAAAAGAAATATCGTGTACTGGGCTATTTCCTGGTTCTGAGTTGTTGCTGAGCAACCAGCGGAGACCGTTACTGTGCCTGACTGGCAAACTAGATATAATGTGTTAGTTTGTGAGCTTTAGATGAGCTGGTAGGTGGATTTTGTTACTATTTAACAGAGCCACTCCAGCTGTTTCCAGCCTTTATGCTATGCTAAGCTAACCAGCCAGCTGCTAACAGTAACTATATTCTAAAGTGAAGAGTGACAACATCTTCTTATTTAGTGTTATCTCTTCACCACAAAGTGAATGAGAATATGTTCTAGTCTAGTCCTAGTAAATAAAATGTGTTATTTAGTACCTTCCTTCAGCTATATATTAAAAATGTCTCTTCACATACCACCACCCTCTCACTTTCAATTAGTTAAAATAAATATGGTTTTGAATAGCAAAGTGGGATTTTGATGTAAATCTAACATTAGTAGGAAATGTTTCAGATTTAGTTTGTGTTTTGAGAAATCTATGTTGCTAATTTTCTGGACACTAAAACCCCTGAACACATCCTCTGGTTGCTGTCCCACATGTCGAATTGTAATCCCGAAGAACCAAACAGACAAACAAAGATGTCCGCAGTGTTCATAAAAGATTCAGATTTAACAGAAGATCAATAAAAATCCCACATCCAGTTATCAGGACCATCGATTTGTCATTAACTTTGCTGTCATGGCCTTTTGGGAAAATGTATCCATTAAATAAATCACATCTTGAGCTCAGTTTGGTTGTAACTTAAAGGGTTTTGTGCAGCAGTTTTTAGAGATAGTCCTCTTGTCTCTGGGTCAAACGGTGCTGCAGGGTCCCTCGCTGTCCTCACTGTCGTCCCACAATCCTCCACTGCTCATGGCCGCCGCATGGTTACCTCGCTGCTGAGGCAGGCCTGGTCTGAAGAAATGCAACAGGTAAAAGTTTATTAACAAAATTAATACAGTTCTTATATGTATATTGTATCTTCACTGATAGCCACAATGCAAGTCTGAGTTTGATATGAGTTTGTTTTCATCACTGTAGGAAATTATGACTGTAATACCTCAGGTTTTCTCTGCTCGGGTTGAAATTCTGAAAGTTTTGCCTCGCTTGAGCTTGAATCGGTATGAAGCCTTGTCTGTTGTCTTTCTCCGGAGCTGAATCAGCCTGGTACAAGAAGCGACGTGCAGAGAGCAGGTTTGACAGTGTGTTATTGACAGGAAAACAGGGGATCAGCTGATTGAAGGAATGGTATTTAGAGATACAGTAGTGGATAAACAACATGGAGCTTTGTCAAGTCTGAGAAAATAACTCTCCTGGAGGTGTCTAGTTTGAAAGACGAGAATGTTTACAAGGCACTGGGGTTTAATAAAAGATGCTACCAACGCCAACTACATGGAGTTGCAGTACTTAATTGCTGGACTCCACCTGTAATATATTTTGTTTTTTTACCTTCTATCCGCAATATTTCCTATATTTTTTGTTTAGATATTCTCAAAAAAAAAAACTGTGAAATTTGAAGGAAAGTTTCATTATAGGCCAAATAATCAACCAGTGATAAGTTTTTGATGCAGATCCATTTTCATTATTTTCCGAAGAACTGTGAAAATCTGGTGCACAAATCCGATACCTGTCTATAACTATGTGCATTTAAACTACAATAACATTATATAATATTTTCTTTTATTAAGCCACTGCATGTATGTCTTTAAAAAAATTTGAACCTTTTTTTATATGCAACATTTGTATGCATGTATAGCATCTTTCAAATGGTCAATCCCAGTGAAAATTGCGGGCTGTGTGTTGTACCAGTTTACCACGACAATATGTCAAAGTAACATTTTCTAATAATACTAGTTTATTATTACAATTTAGAAGTCTGTGCAGCCTGCGCAGATGCATGTACCTCGTTTTCCAAATGTTTTGAGCACAGTTCAGTTGGCATTGGTTCATTCTGACCCAGTATGTATAGATAAATACCTGTTTGGATGGATCATCCCAGATGGGCCTGAAGGCACTTTTTGGATGTAAAGGAGGCGAGCCCTTCCTGACACTAACCAGCCTCTTCCCGTAGGAGCTGACGAGGCACGGCTTTGGCCCGTCCACGCACGGCCCTGCAGTGTTTCTCAGAGGAGGGTGAGGGGTCAGTCTGGGAATCTGCCACCTGAGACACACAGTCCTCTCTCTGGGTGCCTCCCTCGACTGCTGTTGGTTGTATGAGGGCTTTAACAGCACTGGCACCTGGCTGTCCTCCTCTTCATCCTCCCCACTGTTGCTGCCCATCATCTCCCTGCGGAGGGTGCCATCAGGGCTGCAGGAGGTGACAGAGGAGTAGTCGAAGGCGGAGGTGTCATCTGGGTCTGTCTCACCGTCCTCAAGGCTGTGGTTAGTGTAAGGCGCCTCCAGCTCGTTGGTGCCTTTCCCGGTGGGCTGGCTGAAGGTGCCCTGGCCCGAGTCGCTGTTCTCTCCCCACCCTGCCGTGTCAGGAGTGAGGAGGGAGCAGTAGGCGTGTCCACAGTCACGGCCTGGTTGGTTCGGGGCGGTCCAGTCTCTTCCGCAGCCCTTCCTCCTCACTGGGCTGCAGGACCAGCACTCCAGACGCATGGAGTGACAGCCGTCGACTCCGTTAGTGATGCCGACGGCCTGCTGGTCATCTCTGGAGGGAGAGTGGAGGTTATTCTACCAGGACTCCCACATCAACTGGGAGAATGAGCAGTACCTTTACTCAGCTACTCAAGTACAAGTTTGTGGGACTCATACTACATTTGTCTGACAGTTTGCAGACTCAGATCAACTCATATTTATATAGTTTTTCATTATTTCCTAACTTTTTTCTTTTTCTTCTTTCTGTCCTTTTCTTCTTATAGCTTCCTCCTTTCTTCCTTCTGTCATTTCACGTTAACTATTTTCTTTTATTACTTTCATTTCATACCTTCTTCTTTACATGATCTAAAATCATGAAAAAACAACTGGAGGTTTTCTCCTCTTTTGATATAAACACTGTAGGAGCTATTTCTGTTTAAGGTTGGCATTATATTATTTTGTTTAGAAAAATATATTTACTGGCAATTGTCTGCACTCACATCTGCCTCTTCAATGATGATGGATGAGAATTAATACTTCCCGTCTTAAAGCAGAGTTGCATATTGCTGCTTTCAGGATCAGCTGGCAGATAGTAGATGTTGGAGCTTCCTGTCTGCACTGTAACACTAGACTGTAACTGCATGATAAAGTATCTGTCTGCAGGATGTATTGAAATGAATGGATACTGGCTGCCTGGTAAGTATTTTAAATTCGTGAGCTAAAACAATACACACAAAAAAAATCAGATAAGACATTTTTCCACGTAAATGTTATGTCACTGAAAAAGTTACTTGTCTGGGCTTGTCAACAACATTTTTGCACTCCAGGCACTCCCTTGCTTGCTGTACTATCTAATGCCAGCAGAGGGCGACACTCACCTCTGAGCTGCGGCGTTGGACTCATGCTGAGACTCTCTGGTCTGTTGGCTTCTTCTGCAACAGCTTGCAGAGGATCCACCAGCCACTGCATCAGAGCAGCTATTCATGCAAAGAAAAAATATACAGTTTGTTAATGAACTGAAGACATAAATATAGACATTTACCTTAAATCTGTGACAGAGTTTAAAGAAAAAAATCTATGTAAACATATAATCTGATACAAGAGGCGTCAACCTGCTTAGACTTAAAGATGTATGCTAATCTTTTTTATGATGCCCTGACCTTTCTCCAGCTCCTTCTCCTTCCTCCCACTGGACGTCTTCCTCCAGAATCACATGACAGCGAGACAAAATGCTCCTCAGAGCTCGCTCAGTTCCTAGCAGGAGGCTGCAGTCAGGATGCTCTTTACCCGTCCACTGCAACAAGTTCTAGAGAAGGAAAATTAAGTTATTCAGCAATGTGACACATTAATGGTTAGGCAGAAATTTAAGTTTTTGTTTAATCAACAAACAGCCTGTTAACTTAATGTTTCTTTTATATGTAGTAACTCCAAAAGTTTCTTAACCTATTAAAATAGTAATTTTGAAAAGCTTTGTATCACATATTTTTCTCTCTGCTCTGAATCATGTTGTGTTTTTCAGGCGTTGAGCTGTAGCTTTACTGCAGACCTGCAATGTCACGACTTGCGTACCTGCAGCTCCACTAACTGGACTCACTGTGGCTGCTGACTCACCTGAATGTGGCTCAGGTAGCTGTGTATGCGAGAGACAGGTGCCAACAGCAGGGAGAGCAGTTTCACTTCCTCCCTCTCCATCTGGTCGCTCTGTTAAATGCAGACAGAAAATATCCTTCAGCATGTCTGGTTGTTAAAGTACATTATGAATGAACAATGTCAATGCACTTTCAATACCTGCATTTTCTGACTTTTCTCAGGATGATTTAGTCTGTTGAACTCCAGCGAGAGGAATGCCGCCAGGGTAGTCGTGTATCCAAGGTACATATCCGAGAAGGCTGTCTGGAGATCAGAGCAAATCATGAGCACCTTCAGTTTTCAGTGTAATGGGCTGGAATCAACCAAAAACAGCACCAGCTTACGTCATTTTGGCCGATAAGCTGCACCAGGATGTCTCCGACCAGAGATTTCCAGTGTTCAGCAGATAATCGTTCTTGCAGGGTGTTTCTGAAGAGCAGATGTCGCTGTAGCAGCTGCTCCACAAACTTCAGATAAGTCTGACTAGATCACGGCACAAAAGATGAGGGATGTAATGAATGGAAATTTAAAGCAAAACAGAAATGTTTTTATTCCCCTGACCTGGGCACATTTAGTCTTTAAACATATCAAAATATCAAGGAGAAGAGATTTAACTTCAGTTTTTGCAGCTTTGTTGTAGAATGAATGTACAGAACAATAATTTGCTTCTTTTTTTTTGACATGAAAAGCTGTTGTTTTCCCTTTGTAGCTGCAGTCCTGTGAGCTTTAGTATAAACTATTTAGCACTTACTATGGCTCAACAGTCATCTGGTGATCCTGTGGTGTCTTGTATTTATCATAGAGCTGGTTTAAGGTTGACACGTACTCCCACTCAGAATGCAGAAGTTGCATCGCCACCTGATGTCGTGCATCTGCACAAAAAATAAAATATGAATTAAGCTTTCACCTGTAATGTCTACTGCTGAAGCACGTTTCCCCCCAGTTATGTATCACTTTACACAGGATTTAAAAAAAAGTTTTTCAAGTTTTAAAATATTTTATTGTTTTAAAAAAATTGATAAAAGTTGGCGAGGTAGTATTCTGGTAGAAAATGTGAGACATTTTATTTTCTTTCTTTGTTTTTTTCTATAACAATAAAGACTCACCTGTGCCTTCACTCAGTCCTGCTTTGAGGCCCTGCAGGAAACAGTGGAGGAGCAGTTTCCCTCTGGACAGACAGGCTGGTGGAGCAGACGGACGCTCACACTGACTCCGCTCGCAGGCCGATTCTGCTGGGTCACGGCTGCACAACAGTGGACAGATGGCAAAATGTCTCTCTGCATGTTTTATATGTCTGTCTGTTCTAAAAAGAATTTTACCAGCAGTTATCGCTGCCTGCTGACAAGGTGTAAACAGCTTTTTTATGTCTGCTGAGAATAATTTAAAGATATTATATTGTATGTGTGGACTTTGTTGTAAACAAACAAAAACATAAGAAAGAAGATTTTCCTCTTCTATTGTCCATTTCACACTTTGTTTGCTATTGGACAAACAGGAAAAAAGTTATAGTGGCCCCTAAGAACAAACAATGAATGTACTTCTTAATATAGTTTTGCTCCTATACATGTTTTAGTATCCAGTATATTTTTATTTTTGCACTATTTTTTGTGTGTGTTTTGTCTTGTATGTGGGGCCGAGGTAGAAGGGGGCACAAATGGAGCTAAAGCTAAAGTGCGATGGAAAAATCAAAAAACATGTTTATCTTCTTCTGCAAAGTAATAGAGATAATCTCCTACACCAGATAAATCAGATTTAAAAGAAATATTTTTAATTTTGAGAAAGATGCTTTGTCCTGTCTCCTGAACTGTTCTCTAATTTGTTTACAGTTATAATTCCAAGCTAGGTGTATTTTCTTTTTACCTTTCTCTCTGTTTGGGTGTGGAGCTCTTTCCATCCTGCAGAGGTCTCTGTCTGTTACTGTACAGCTGCAAGATCTGACACTGCATCACTCCAAGTTCTTCCTGTAGGATGACAAGACATTAAACAACTGAAAACATAAAACTATGAGTAAGTATCATTTTATACTGTTTAATATATGTTATGGATGAATCCAGATATATTTGAGTGTTGAATGTGTTTGTATTACTGTTAATGTTCCTGTTGTTAACTGTATTTTAAATTTTTATGTGAATATCAGACACTGTAACGAAACTTTTCCCGTTAGATTTTTCTCAGTAGTTGAACTAATCTCACCTTCAGTGACTCTACCAGAGCCTCCAGACGATGAGCTTTCTTCTGGCAGCTCCTCCTGTTCTCCTCCAGCTCCTCCCTCAGGTACGTGTCTCCATGTTGGATCTTACTGAGCTCCAGCAGAGCGCTGGTGAAGCCCGTCTTCAGCTCCGAGACCATGCATTGTAACTGATGGGACAGCAGGTGTCAAATATAGATTTATTGACAGACGCAACAGCATTGACTTGTACACTTCTGATGTTCATTGAAAGCTCAGGTAAACTGAATTTTGATCCTGGGCTGCACTCTTTGGGCATCAAATGTGGTTTATTTTACAATCTACTGCTAATTTTTCAAATAGTAAGCTCTTTAAATGTAAAGTAGCTGTCTCTTTAACAAAACCAGGGCTGGCTGATGAGGGAAGGTGCAGAATACCTTTGAGATTTCAGTGACAAGCTCTGCCTCTTGAGGCTTCATGACCTGTACAGAGAGAGACACAAACAAGGCTGTTTGCAAACACTCAGGTATTAATGTGCACAAAATATCACAAACTGTGCCACCTGTTAGATATTTATAGCTGTAAAAGGAAAAGCCAGAGTTAACTTTAGGAGATGCACAATGCAGAGAAAAGCATGTTCTTCCGTGTGATTCACTCTGTCCTCCAAACGCAGACCAGATAGTCTTACATTCACACAAAAGGTGCATAGCAGGGAAGTCAACCTGTTGTTTTCTCAGTAAACTGGATCTTTAACCTCTGCCTCACCAAGTGAACTCCAACATTGTAAGAAATAGACAAAAGCTGAATATCTGCATAGAGTTTAATCTCAGGATTTATTATTTTAAGCACAGAAAATGTGAATTATGTAATAATGTATTATTACTACCTATATATTAAAGCCTATGTACAAGAATATTTGATTCTTAACCTGATTTTATGACTTTCATGCCTATATTCTTGTTTGTTTGTGGTACCTGCTTAGATGTTGCCCCTGCCAGCAGCCCCTCTGCTAAAGGAAGTAGCAAGCCAGCCAAAGAGCTCAGCTCTGCAGGGGAAATGGCTGCAGGAGCCAAGATTCCTCCTTATAAGTCTGCTGACAGAAGGACAAGCAGGGATCAGCAAAATGAAAAATAGAATATGCAATAATATCATGTTTTAAACTGCAAATACACCATATAGAATCACCTTTAAAAATATTTATAACTGATCTTCTTAGGCACTTTTATAGGCTATACATTTTCCGGAGTTAAAATATGTAGAAATCATTTTTTTTTTTTTTATTGTAGACAAGATTGAAAGGCAAGGTTAGCTACTTAAAAGCATTTTATAATACTTACAAGCATAATTATAATGTTAAAGCTGTCCAAATATCCAAGAATCCACCAGAAAAACAAGAAAAAGACATATTATGCAAGCATCATTTACTAAACAAAGCCTCGGGAAACTCACCTCAGTTAAAGCTCTTTAATAATGCTTCTCCAGACATCAGAAGAGATGCAGTGAATCCGAAAACACTTAAAATCTCCAGTGTTTCCTCTTCGGTGTGAAAACTTGGATCCAGTCATTTGCGGTGTTTGAAGGCGGTAGTCCGGTGTTGCGCTGTGTGCAGCTCTGTGCGGACAGCAGATGTCCTGCATGACGCTCAGTGAGCAGCTCTGAGATTTACTGTGTTTACTGAGCCTCACTATGAACCATGCACATAGCCTAATGGAAGGAGGCTATTGCTGTATAGTAGAGTTATTATATTATTATGTATGTAGCCTAAATATGTTTTATTCTACTGTTACTTTACCAACACGTGTTTAGGTTGTGTTTTTTTTATTATAGCACTTAAAACGTTGCTCATAAAGTCGTATTTTTATTAGGTTTTCAATATAGAAATGTGAAGTTTTGTCATTGCTAGTGTGATTTCCTACAAAACATTAGTTCAAGTGATTTCCTATGGAGTGAAATAATAATATAAGACGTAAGAAGATAGATAAAAAGCTATTATATTATTATACTGAACATCATTTTACAATTTTATAGAATGTGAATATAGATTTAGATATGGATAATACACACTATATATAATATATTTAGTGTTATATGTATGTGCAGTAAATGTAATAAACACAAAAATTCCTTTTATATAGCCTACATAGGTTTTAATATATTTTAATGTATATTTTATTGTATCAGGCCTATTGTATGACTTTACAACAGGCTTCACCGATTTAAACAACTTGAATATCATTAAATAAACAGATTACATCACAAAGTTCGAGAAAACACATAATTATTTCTCATTTTTGTAGAAAATCGAGGGATGTCACCGCTCACGTCCTTCACTCCGCCCGTGTGGCTCAGTCCGTAGAGTAAATCGAGCGCACCCGTGTCTGCGTTGTTTTGACGAGGGGCGTGGTCAAGCGCCAGTACTTGAATCTGATTGGCTGCTGGGCTCAAGGAGTTTTCAAATCGAAGCAGCAGCTGACGGAGCGGAGCTGTCAAAACAGTCGACAGGAGGCGAGAGCAGAGACCGGTGAGAGGATATAAAGCGATAAACCTCATATTCAGACACATATATATGTATATCTGTAATATTAAAGCTCTTTTATTCTTTCCTGATGATGCTCAGGTGAAGGTTTCATTTAAATGTTCTCCTGTTTTCGGTTTTCTGCACAGCTAACGTTAGCTACAATCAGCAACATGATACACACACACACACTGCGCTTAGGAGGGTTTGTTAGTGGACATTAATGTTAATACAAGGTCAAATGATATGTTGTTTTCATCGGAATCTGCATATCTAAGCGTTAATGGGGAAAATGCTTGCTGGTTGTCAGACTGTACATGTTTAATTCATAGTTTAAAGGTTGGTGTGTAGCCTTAGCTGCTCTACGTTGGCTTATTTAAAGGACCACACCAGCATTATTTTAACATGTTTTATCTGATAGTACAATATCATATGATGTTATGCAGTAAAGGGCAACAGCACAAACCCTTACATATTATGATTGTGTCAAAAACAAAATTCTTGAATCAAATATTAACTTTTTTGTGAACTAAACAAAACAAAATGCCATTATCTGAGAGCTAAAACAGCACCTGGATCACAGTTTCAGCAAAAACTTTATGTAATATAAACATTATAAGCTTCACAATTGTAGTATTTATTGGTGGACTGTTTATTGTGGTGCAATTTATTGTAAAAGTTTAGTATTTTGTATTTACACCCTGCACTTTACATCGGTGGTTCCCAAGCTTTTACCTTAAGAGAACAATTTTCTATCACTGAGAAAACTGACATAGTTTATGGATTTTTATATTATATTCAATGCATAGTAATGCACAATAACAGTACATAACAATAACAACTGATAAACTGTACAATGAACACAAATTCTGAACACAATAAGTGCAGTATGTTTATGTAAAACAAGTGATTTGGATAAATTATGAGCAGATTATTTCCAGTGAGCATCAGAGATCAGTTTTCCTGGTATTTTTAGTAGCTTCTATTAAAATACTTTGTCTGTATTATTTATCTTATATTTCGAGACAATCATTCACACTGAATTAGCTTCTTTTTTGACAATATTGTTCTATTAGCTCTCTGTTGTTTTAACTACATACTTTTCTATTGCCGGACGAGGCTGTCTTCATAGTTGAGATCTTGAATAATAATCTAAACTTTAAAAATAACAAATCAAGAAGTCCTTGTGACCCTCCGTTAAGCTTTGGTTGGGACCCACTGCTTTACATCACTGCCCATCACTTCCAAAGTATGCCTTAGTTTTGGGGGCTTTGAGTGGTTTAGGGTAAAATCAAAATCAACTTGCAGAGACTGCAACAAATATTAGGTACATGTTTTTAAAAATATAATACAATTCAAAAGTATTTATGATAATTTGGAATACTGTCAGAATTAATCAAAGTGAACTGTAATGGAAATAGACTAAAAATAATTTTACAGCGTCTCTCAGTACTCTCAGTACTAAATTTCGGTATCCTCCCTACTGTCTCAATAGTCTGGCGCCATGAGGACGAGTGAGTTTGACTCCTCATCTGAAGAGGAGGAGATCGGAGAGGAACAGCTGACACCCTTCCACATCTCCTGGTGAGTTTTTACTTCTGTCTTGGGCTTCAAAAAAAGTGTGAGATTTCTGTCAGGGTGATGTAATAAATGTTTACTCTGAAGAGTCTGTTTGTGTTCATGTATATTGTGATTGGCTTTAAGGTTACCTCTGTCCATAGTGGAGTGCTCACAGTTTATCGGGATATGTGCACTACCAGGTGAAGTCATAATTTATCATTTTATATATCTCTGCATATTACTGTTTTTACTTTATTGTAAGTTTTTGTGCAACTGATAATAAACATTTGTTTTTTGTTTTTCTTCATCTGACTTCAGGTTGCAAATACAAAGATATCCGCAGGAGTCTGGAAAGAGATGTTGGTAAGACGACCTTGATCCTTGGTTGAGTGAAATAGTCCGCAACCAACCATATTAACCTCCACAAGGAGATCTTATTTGACCTGTTTTTAAATACCAGTAGATTTGGGAGGATGCTGTTTTTAGAGAATCTCACACTGTTAATTCAGCAAACTTTTCTCTGTTTCCCAACATAATGTAAATTGTGACTGTATAAGATTGTCCACTGATAGTTAGTTGTCATTTTTCGAATTCACATGATTTCACTTGAATGTTTCTTGCTTTGATTTTTCAATGTTCTGTTCTTTCAAAGTTCATTAACTTGAAATTCCAGTACGTATTTTTAATAATCTAGATTAGGGTTTAAACCAAGAATTATCAACAATATCAATTATTATGATGATTATTTTCTCTTAAATACTTACCATTTGGTCCATAAAATGGCAGAAATCAACAAATCACTTCTTTTATCTAAACAAAACATTTCTCTTTGCTGTCACATAAGTGGAAGGCAGTCAGCACATCATCACATTTAAGAAGCTAAAACCATCATCATTTTTGCTTAAAAATTTAAGGTGATTAATTTACTGTCAATCGACTAACTGTTTCAGCTTTAATGTGGATATTGAAGTGTGGTTTGTGAATGAGTGTAATGATAGCCTTGTTCCAGACATCACTGACACATCATTAAGTTTAAGTCCAGCAATATAAACACTGATACAACCTGTACATGTAACATATCCCTGTACCCCTAAAGTGATTGTGTTTTAGACCAGTGAAATGAGAGAAAAAGTCTCTAACTTTTAAAGAAATAAACTTGATTTCAGCTGTTTGTAAGTTTAATTGTTTTCTTTGTCGTTAACAGAGGAGCTCCAGAACCAGGGGGTGCAGGAAGTGTTTGTTTTCTGCACCAGAGGAGAACTTAACAAGTACAGGGTTCCCTCCCTGCTGGACGTCTACCAGCAGCGAGGCTTCGAAGTTCACCACATGCCCTTTCCAGACGGAGACGCTCCCGAGCTGGAGCAGTGCTGCCAGATCCTCGAGGAGCTGCAGGTCAGCCTCGAGAACAGCAGGAGGACTGTGATCCAGTGAGTGACCTGAT